GAAAATGAAAATGAAAATGAAATAAAAGATATATACAAGAGTAGTGATTGGAATAGCTTGGTGTTTGTTTTGGACTTCAGAGCTATTGGTGGGAATTATAGTAGAGGTTGAAATCATCAAAGGTCTTCCAGTTCATGAAACAAGCAAGATGATCATGAAATGTGGTTCCAATGCTATTGAGACTCAGCTGTAGAAAACAAGTGTTGTAATCTTCTGCCTGTTAAAACAACTGCCATTTATTTGGAGTTAAAATATAGCTTTCCATGCAAAAATTATTGTCGTTATTCATATTTTCTTAAACTGTGAATTAGGAAGGGAGAGTGTGGTTTTCAGCCAAACTTTTATGGATTTAGACATTAGGCCTGACATTAAGCAATGACTGATTAGACCTTCTAACAACCCATTAAGTTCTACTCTCTGAGTTTTGCATCATAGCTGGTTATAAAGTTCTCCAATAAGCCCTATATATCTGATTCTCCTACTCCATTATAACTTCGGGTTGCGTGATATAAACAATCCCCTACAATATAGAGAATAAAAGACATAGGAGGTAGAAAACAACTGGGAGAATAAGTGGAATAAAAGAAAGGGTGTTAGGGATTCATCATTTATGCTTGTAGTGGTACCAAGTAGAAGAATCTTATCAGCAGGACACCATTCTTAGCTAAAGGTATTTGCTTTCTGCCTCAAGAGTGATGATCATTAAACTGGCTTTGAAGAAATTAACAGACACATTCATTGACTACTGTTGGGAAATGCCCACCAGGGCATGGAGGAAGACACAAGTGAAGGATTAGCCTTGAATTGTGCAACTGCAAGAGATTCAGGACAGACACAGCCCCCCCCCCCCTCCGGGACCATATCTGTTCCCAAGAGAAGGCAAGCAGTCTGGAGGATTCCTATATAACCGGTAGAATATAATGAAGTAGTTAGCTTGGATCTGGTTGCTTGCACCTGACTACTGACCACCGTCATTGGTACATGGTGTCTTGAGGTCCAGAGTGGATAGACTTCCAGATACCAAATATGGAAAGAGATGGAAAGATCTATCTCATGTCCTGCTTATGAACTTCCAGATGTGCTTCTAGACTAGAGGTGCTAATAGCCACTTAGAAACAGGAAGCTTACATGGGAAGGTATTTATTATGTTGTCATAGTTTTTCTTGTCCTGCCTTACAAAAACAGCTAAATCCATAAAGCATGAATGGAAGGAATCATCCTCAGACTATGCATTACTGGAAAATCCTGCCTGAATCCTCACTCTGTGCTTATCTTTCGCCACAGGTTAAAAGGCAAATGGGCTGATGTCTCCTCTGTTCAGCAACAGGTGATGCCCAGAACTATAAACTGAACTGGGAGTTCCTAAAATGCAAAACATATGAGTGGTTTGGTTGGATTAAAGCTGACATTAAGAACGAACACGTAAGTTCTGGCAAATTGTTGGAATCAATATATTTTTCCTTCTCTTTTTTTTCCTCCTCCAGTTTTAATTGCAAACTTGATTTTTCCACAATTCTCACCGTGTCTTTGGAGATTACTAAGATTTATTGGATATGCTTATTTACACAGGTTTCAGACCCACTAAAAACCAATTAGGTAGGCATGCTGGGAGCAGACCTATATGATTAAGCATACAATTTGCGCAGCATTGTTTACTTGCTTCTGTCCACAAAGTCTAGGAAACCATCTTTCAGGGTGGCAAAGAGTAGCTTGTTTTATTCCTCTCCACCACCACCTAAATCTCATGAGGAGGTGCCAAACTGGGCTACACAATTCTGGACAACTGCCAAAAAGCAGCAGAACGGCACATAACGCTGTAATATAGTACTTGATGTGGTGGCTCAGTGGCTAAGACGCTGAGCTTGTCGATCAGAAAGGTCGGCAGTTCGGTGGTTCAAATCCCTAGCACCACATAACGGAGTGAGCTCCCGTTACTTGTCCCAGCTTCTGCCAACCTAGCAGTTCAAAAGCATGTAAAAATGCAAGTAGAAAAATAGGAACCATCATTGGTTGGAAGGTAATAGTATTCCGTGCACCTTTGGCATTTAGTCATGCCAGCCACATGACCACGGAGACGTCTTCGGACAGCGCTGGCTCTTCGGCTTTCAAACGGGGATAAAGACTGCCCCCTAGAGTTGGGAACAACTAGCACCTATGTGCAAGGGGAACCTTTACCTTTATAGTACTTGTGCCGTGTCATGCACTCTAGATCCAGTAACTCTTCCTTCATTACTTGCATTTGTTTTTGTATAACTCTTCTTGGGAAGGTCAATGTTTGGCTGTTGTTCTTCTCCCTTTCTTTTTATACCTGCCTCCTCCAGGTGTATAGAGATTTATATACTGTCAAGTAGTCTGGACCTCATTGTTCTAGTTGACTTGGGTCATTCAAACTTCCTGTTTGAGGAAAAAGTTTACGAATGGCTGTTCTTGCAGCAGCATTATGCTTCTCTTATTTTAAGTGGCTTCATCCTGGGGGAGAAAAACAAACAAGCATAAGCTATCCTATCTTTTAACCACAAGAGCTTTGGAAAGATTATGATAGAATGATCAATATTCTCTGAAATGCTGAGCTCTCACCGCAGGAGAATGCACTTGATTCAGCAGTTTGCTAGGATTGTGTACTGTAATCTAGCTTTGGCTTCAGAAACATCTCAAAGGAATGAAGCGATTTTCTCTTTTTACCAGAATATGGACGTGTTTTTTTACATTGGAATATTATCTCTTACCTCATTTCTCCCAAATAGATTTGATTGATGAGATTAGGCAAAGATGAATTTATCTTTATTTTGATCATTCCATTTGTTAATTTTGTACCAAGTTCAGATGATATGACTGTGCACAATAGAAAAAAAAATAGTGCTATTCTTGCCTGTCATGTAGCTGTTAAGATGGATCATCAGAATGAAGAAGAGGGGAAGGAAAGGAACCAGTTTGATGAAGTGGTTGTAGGTCTAAAAGCCAAGAGACTATGAGTTTTAAACATGAAATCCAACTGGGTGATCTTGGGCCAGTCATTCTGTTTCAGCCCAACATTGGGCTCAACCTGTCAGTATTGTTGTGGGGAAAATAGGAGTCAGAGGGAGTATTATGTATGTTTTCTGCCTTAAGTTATTTTATTTTTAAAAAGAAGTAAAGAAAAAAAGGGAGGAAGAGTAGGAAGTGTAATGATCATTTGGCTCCACCAGTGTGATTGAAAACACCAAAATTCACATGAAGATTTTTGAACTCTCCAAGCCATTCTATCCAGCTCAACATCGCTGTCACTTTTGCTTTCTTCTCTTTGCTTTAAAAAAATCCCCAAATCAAAAACCCTGTGTTTTTTTCAGCCGTTGCACATTAAGAACTCTTCCAGCACATTACACATTGTGCTGGAAGAAATCATAACATTCCCATCCATCACTTAGTGGAATTCTTTGATTGTCCATGCAACTTGCTAGTGGTTCAATGTGAGAAATTAATAGCTAACTAGTTAAAGAATCATAGCAAGGAAAGCACGTAACAGCCTTATAACCTTTTTGTAATAGATGCTTGTTTTTTAGACCTCCCAGTTAAACAGGAGCGAAAGGGCACCTAACAGACAATGAGAAATTATGCAACAGCATCTTGCTCCCAGATTCACTCAGTGTGATCGTACATTTATTTCCAAGAGTTTGTTGCAAAACTCAGCCCATGGCCAACTTTGTTGCTGCTGTTGCAAATTAGATTTGCAGAAAAAAGTGCATAGGTAAAATGTCATAATTCAGAGGTGATCAATCTGACCTGAAATTGACAACTCAATTCAATTCAGAAATTCAGATTCAATCAGGAGACTAAACCCATATTGTTTAGTACAGTAGAGTATCTTCTGCAGCCACTTCGTATTTTACCTTGTATTATATATGAGCAGTGCTCATCTCCATTTCAAAGCCGAACAGCCAGCGCTGACCGAAGACATCTCCTTGGTCACGTGGCCAGCATCACTAAACATTGAAGGCACACTGCACACTGTTACCTTCCCACCAAAGGTGGTTCCTATTTTTCTACTTGCATTTTTACATGCTTTTGAACTGCTAGCTTAGCAGAAGCTGGGGCAAGTAACAGGAGCTCACCCCGTTATGCGGCGCTAGAGATTCAAACCGCCGAACTGCCGACCTTTTTGATCGACAAGCTCAGCATCTTAGCCACTGAGCCCCTGCATTGCCTAAATATAAATAAATACACAAATAAAAATCAGATATTCATTCCATAGAAATATAACCAAAGTGGAAGACATACAAACACTCCAGGCATTGTTTTTGTTTTTGTTTAGAAATGTACCAACCTGACTCCCATAATACAAAGGGAAGCCAGACCGGGCAGTTAGAAAATTTATAGTGTGAGAAATGTGTCCTTGTATTCTATACGATATAATCAAACATAAGGAGTGGGCTGGAAAGGGCTCTTGAAGATCATCTAATCCAACCCCCTTGCCCTGTGCCTCCAGGAATTCCCTGTCATAACACTGGCTAGTCAAGCCTGCTGTTTTGAGATTGTGAAATGTCCAATCAAAAACCTGAAGAAAGCCTAGAAAACAGTCAGCTGTCATATTTAATGGCGATAAGGTCATACAAGTATTACCTTCTCTTCTAAGACAGACGTTGTTACGTAGTCTTTCACTTCCACCCCTTTCTCTCTTACTTCTTTCAAAAACGTTCTTCAGCTGCTTTTTTTGAAGGGCATTCATATGGTGAGTACATGTGGTTATTTGCCTTTTGTTGCATTTTTATTAATAACAAAAAAGAGAAAAGTTACTTTATTGTCATTGCACCTCATACAGCAAAATTAAACGCCATCTTCAGTTTATATTATAACTATAAAAATAAACCACAAACACACATCCTTCACATTCTATACAATTGAATTGAAACCCGATATTGCATTAGTATTGCACTATACAGTTGAATTCAATATACTGTAGTTACAGCCCTGGGATAGAAGCTGTTTTTCATCCTGTTTGTCCTTGTTTTTTATTATCCTGTACCGTCTGCCAGATGGCTAAAAAAAAAAAAAAAGGAGCAAAGCATCATAGGGATGGAGATTCATGCATTGTCAAAGAGAAGGGAGAAAAGAGCACATAATAAGTGNCTGGTGCCCAAAAGGTTGGGGGTTGTTGGCCTATAGGTTTCCCAACCTATAGGGTTGGGAATTGGGGATACCATTTTATTATGGTACTGTTCCTATTGCTGTGGAGTTTTCAGTCATTATTAAGTGAAGAAGTCAAGCCCACAATTATTCTAACATGGACTCCCTCAGAGCTCAATTCTCACTTCATTTCTATTTAATATTATGTGAAAATACCTAGAAGTATTTGGGATGAGATATCAGTATGTGGATGACACTCAGTTGCACACTGCTGGTCAAATCAGAAGTGTTTGTTTATTAATTAAATTTGTATAGCCTTCCAATCTCACCAAATGAAACTCACAAAAAATGGGGGAATTCTCACTCAGAGAGAGGACGTTGTGGATCTGGATGGGCCAAAATAAGCCCATAGGTTGAATCCCAGAAAGACAAGATTATTATTTGTTCAGAAATGTCAGTGATTCCTCATGATCTACTGATGATTGTTTTCACCTTGTCCACAGCCTGAGGTTTCTTCTGGGCTCACATCTCTAGGTGGAACAATGGAGGGAAGCCAAGGCCAAAGGGACCTTTACGCTTATTTCTCTGGTAGTAGTTGAAGCCCTATCTGGATCATGAAGCCATCATGATCATCATTTATACTCTGTCTTTGAAGATAATCTGTAAAGATCAGCTTGTGCAAGGTGAAGCAACCAGGATGTTTGGAAATGAGAGTTGCCAGTGTTATGTAACACCTATTATCTGGTTAATTTGTTGGCCATTAGTGAGTTTCCAGGCCCAGTGCTGATTATTACTTACAAATCTCTACATATCTGAGTTGCAGGGCAACAGAAGAAATGAGGTTGCTTAGGACTGCCACCACAAGAGATCAAAGGGGCATGGACCTAAAGGCAAGTCTTCTCATTGGCAAGATGTTGTAAACCAATTTATCTCTTGAGGTGCATCAGCCTTATTGGCTTTCCTTTGAGTCATTAAACAGTCTCATTTCTCTGAATATTTGGAGATTGATTTTTAGTTGTCTGGTTCATGGTTGATCTGTAGCTGCTATCTTTTTATTCTGCTGGTATTGAATTGCATATTTTGCCTTGTGAACCATCCATAGCCTTCTGGACTGAATGCTATGTAAACCTTTGCAGATAAATAAATATATCACTTCTCTGTCTACAACCTAGGATATCTGTGGTAAAACCTGTGATATCCATAAATCTATTCCCTGGAAGTATTTTGAAGCAGTTAAATGCAATCTTTCCAGTAAAAATCAGTAGCTTTGGTAGGTAACGGATGTGTACCATACCAAAATTTATATTCTGTTAGTGCAGACA